CTAACAATTACGCCGGCAGAGATTGCAGGCAAAGTTTCTTTTCACAAAATTTCAAACAATACATTTTGTTGCTGAAAATTTCGCCGAGAACAGTTTTTCTTTTTGTATATGTACGTACGTATTGAAGTCCAATTAGACTTTTTGCATTGAATACGCTTCACGATCCTTTTTACTTGATTGGCGTCAAATTCACTCGCATTTTAATATATATAAAAAAAATGTATGTATGGGTAGAACTACGCTCTCACAAAATACGAGCTTGAAATAGCAGCTTATTGCTGCTGTGTTTCGTATGGTGACTGTGTACTAATAACGAGGTATTCCAACTTAGTCCCCAGGGGTGAATTTAAAGAAGGCACGTTTGCAGCCGAACCACAATCGGAAACAAACCAGGGAGGGGAAAAGAAAAAGTAAGCTTGGCCTTATAAGCTTAGTGGGGCAGCGAGGAAAAGGTACCGAAGGCTGATAGCAGCTGAGATTGGAGCCGAAGAGGCCCTCTCTCTCTGTCAGAAGCCTTAGGACGAAATTCCTCTGCCCAAGCTTCCCCCAGTTCAGAAGGTAAGAAAAACGCAGTCGGTCTGAGGAAGAGTCCCTCAAAACCAGCCCAGGAAGACTGTGAAGCTGGCAACGGAGGAGAAGAAGCCCAGCTTCAGTGCCGTAGCTGGCTCCGCGCGTATAGGAATTCACAATTCGAATCCTATGAGTGTGGAGCAGATGCGGCTGGTCCACCGGGCACTAACACAGGCCATCGATAAGGCGGCCTGTGGGGCAAAACCGGGAATGGGTCCAAAAATTTCGGGTTTCACACACAAGCCAGATTGGATTCTGGTAACGTGCCTGAATTAGGCAAGCCAGGACTGGATTGTTGGTGAAATCGGAAAACTAAAGCCCTGGCCGGAGACAGAGCTCTCGGTAATACCCGAGGGCGAACTGCCTAAGCCTCAGCTGGGTATTACCTACTTGCCCCGCAGCGAAGCCGACTTTCCAGAGGAGGCGGCTGTGCTATTGAGGGCACAAAATGAAGGGCTCCATACTGAGCTCTGGGGAATCCTCGACCGTAGGGACGAGGAGAATGGGTTCTTAGTAACCTTTTCTCTGGACGACCCACCGGCGGAGGATCTTCGGAAGGCAGGCGGCAGAGTCATCCTTGGCTTTAAGTTGATAACTTTTAAAGTCATTGGAATCTGTGACGCGGCAATGGAGCCCGAACCGCCCCAACCCCAATCCCCCCAGCCCTCCACCTCTCACCTCTGGAAGGCCACCGGTGAGAGTGACGAAGACCCAAGGCGCAGATTTTGCCTCGGTCCGACGGCCTTCGCTGGTGTCGTCCAGGCCGGTGGGGGGGGGAGGGGAGGTGGGAGCGGTTCGTCAAAGGACGTCATCGTCCTCAACAGGCGGAAAAGACCCCTGCCCCCCTCCCCCACACCCATAAATGGCTAAACCCAAAGGGTAAGACGAGGGTCCTCCAAGCAAATCTTCACCATGCAGCAGCTGCTTCTGCCGTGGTGGAGGTTTGCTTTGCAGAGGACAACATTGACCTCGCCCTTATACAAGAGCCTTGGGTTGCCAACGGTCAAGTTCTGGGATTGGCGGCTGCCGGTAAGATTCTTGTCAATACCAAAGGCAGTAGACCCAGAGCTTGTATAATTTATAATAAAAATATTAAACTTTTAGCTGTTCCAGAGTACTGCAATGATGGCCTGGTTACAGTCTTCATTAATCTCAAGGGATGCACAGAGGCCAGAGTAATCATTTGCTCAGCCCGACCGAACGCAGATCTTACCATCGAGTTAGAACGAGTGGCTGAGTTCGCCCGAAAACACAACGCCGAACTTGTGATGGGTTGTGATGCTAATGCCCATCACACAGTCTGGGGAAGCACCAACATCAAAGAAAGAGGTGAGTTATGATTTTTATGATTTTCTCATCTCCAACCGCCTGCTAAGCCTAAACCTAGGTTGTACACTAACCTTTGTAACGCGTGCTAGGCAAAAAGTGTTAGACATAACCTTTGCTACCAATAATATGTCCAGACGGATAAATGACTGGCATGTTAGTAGCGAAAACTCGATGTATGATCACAAGCACATGTGATTGGAGCATCACCGACCTTTGAAACCGTTACTTTTAGGGATCCGAAAGCGACCTCCTGGGATATCTACAGAGATAGCCTAAGGAGGAATTTGGAAACGTTTCCTAAAAGCATCAAAACATTTGAAGGTCTGGAGTTAGCGACGCAGACGGTAACCGTAGGTATCCGTGAAGCCTTCGAGGACGGTTGTCCCGTCAAAACCAAGACCTCAACACGAAAAGTTTCTTGGTGGAATTCTAAGCTGAAAGAACTTAGGGAAAAGACCAGGAAACTTTTTAATAGCGATAAGAAAACCAAAGAGTGGGATATTTATAGTGCAGCCCTAACTGAATATAATAAAGAAATCAGGAAAGCCAAAAGAGTATCGTGGAGGAAGCTATCTGAGGAAGTTGAGTCTTTGCCTCGCAGTGCAAGACTACAAAAGATGCCTTCGAAAGTTAAACCTAATCAGATCGGGCTTCTTAAAAAGCCGGATGGTAACTTCACTAATAGTAAAACATAAAAATTGGAGTTACTAGTGTCAACCCATTTCCCAGGGTCACACAAGACTTCAGCCTTGAACTCTTTCAGAGCCCTACGAAGGCCTTGCAATGAGGACTTGTGTAGGGCTGCAAAGATAATAAGGCCAAACCAGGTGCAGTGGGCTGTTGACTCCTTTGAAGCATTTAAATCAAGGAGAGGGAGGATGGAATAATTCCCATCCAACTACAGAGGGGTATCGACATCCTTCTTCCTTATCTGGTGAAAATCTTCAGAGCAAGTTTTGCATGGGGATATATTCCAGAACGATGGACAATTGTCAAGGTTCTATTTATACCTAAGGCTGGTAGAAAGGACTACGCTTTCCCAAAGTCCTTTAAACCTATAAGCCTATTTTCCTTTGTTCTTAAAACATTGGAAAAGGTTATATATATATATATATATATATATATATATATATATATATATATATATATATATATATATAATCTACGGAAACTTGCACAACACATATGCTACTAATGATTGTTCCTGCAAAATTCGATATATTTTTTAATCATCATTTCTGATGTGTTGGTATGAAATATACACCTCTCTGCTTATTCTTTAATGACAGAGCTATTGCAAAATCTGCTTCCATAGGTTTTCCACTTAAAGTTTGTACTAATGCAAATTTTTTCCACACATTATGGCTTATTTTGGTGAACGATTTAAAATAAAACTGAACTGCAAGGCTGGTATTGTTGTAATGGGCATTACTGGTGATTTGGAGGTATATCTATTCCATGTGTACAACCTTCAGATTTTATTTTGGGATAAAGATGGCAATAGATGAATCAGGTGTTTGTTTTATGAAATTTAATTACCGTGACGGAGTAAGGTAATCCATCACTCCTGTTTTGTCCCGTGGATGTTGCAAAAGGCAGCTAAGAATCTCTATAGGGCAGGAATAAAATAACCCGGCCAACGACGTAAAGTAACCTTCAAACGAATGGTGTAACTCGGTGCCATACTATTTAAACCGTTTTTTTTTTCAATTACAAGGAATTATTATTTTCAAACGCGACAATTTTTTAAATTTAGAATAAAAAAAGATCTTATTACATTTTACGATAAAGTTATTTTTAAAATATAACATAACATAACATGAACACTCACGCCTATCACCCAGAGGGGTAGTCAGAGAATACAGACTTCCATTTAGCACGATCCTGACATACCTCTCTCGCCTCTTCCACGTTCATATACCTACGCGTACATGCTCGTCGGTTAAGGGTACTCTTAATTTGGCCCATTTTTAGTATATCGCCAATTTGGTCGACAAACTTCTGCCTAGCCCTTTCAGAACGACGAAAAATTCTCCCGCTTCTCAAAAATTTTACATTAAATTCTAGATATACAATAGATAAAGTATTTAGAAAAAATAATAGAAAAATCCCCCCTCTTTAAATTTTGCTGTAGCCCCTCGCACGTACGTACGCTCTCGTTTTTAAGTGTGCTATCTGTTTTATGCTAGCTATTTTAAGTTTGTATATATCTATACAGAAACAAGATTATGTAATATATCACGATCGTGCATAGGGAATAAAACTGTAAAAAATATTTTCTAATATATTTATTCAATAATTATTAAAGAAAGTATTACTTTTTATAACACAGTATTTTGATATTAACTTCTATTTCAATTAATTTTTGGTCTTTTTACACATAAATTTATGTTAAGCCTACATAAATCAGTCTCATTTATATAAAGAACAAACAAAAATATAATAATTATTATCTTAAGTACTATTATTTCCAAAATAAAAAGTCATTGTAGACAACAAAAAATCAATACTTAAATGGTAGTATAGTAAGTAAAACCGAACCGAACTAAAATTAACCCGTCACTTTGTAATGATATAGTTTTATAATCCGAGTGGTCTCGGTTTATTCTTTACTAAGACTCGCAATTTACGTTTCCCTGTGAAAGGTATAATATGGTCATCGATTGAGTATTCACCTGCCACCCTTTTGAGTGAGAAGCATGCTTTCTTAACAGTGTCGAGAATGGGCTGTACCTTCCAGCGGATTTGAATTTCCTGAAGGTGGTTCATCTGTGGGTACTACGTGCATGTTATTCCTTAATAAGAAATAACGGTCTCTTGGCATTTGACTAGTGATTATTTCCAGGCGCATACCTGTATGCCAGTTAATAATATTAAATCATGGGTATGGTATACGGCCCACCAATAGAAGTATACCAAATAATTTGCGCATCTATTGAAAGGTTGTGCTTAAGACTGAACCAGTTTTACGCAGGTAGTACAAAATTGTGCAGTGTGCGATGTTTTTGAACAAAAATCTTCATTGAAATATATAGAAAGATATTGCTGCATTTCAGAGGGTTCAGGTTGAGAAGGAAAATTATGCTCCAGATCAGTATAAGTTATAGCTTTCCAGATTCTAGGTATTTTTTGTGCCTGATGACTATTAGGCATTTCGAGGTGGCGGGAGTTTGCAGGTGGGAGTCAAAGTCATGATCATGATCTGAGTCACTGTCTCTGTCATGGTTACTAGGTGGAATCTCTGAGGGTATATCATCTTCATCATCTGGTAGTCGAGGTGCATTGACAGCCGGTTCTGTCTCCTCATCCGATATGTCCAGGTCTGACTGACACCCATCTCCAAGCACATCTTGTAACAACTCGTAGTTTAGAGGTTGTCCTGAGAAAAAAAATGCGAGGTTATTGGTATGAACATTTAACTTAAGGAAAACAGTTAAAAACGACAACGCACGATCGTGCGTTAAAATTTCGCGGGCCGGTTACCATAGTTAAAACTTATAAAGTTGCTAGGATTATTTAACATTATTGTACGTGAACATTAAAATTAACTATTTTAATATGAAAAATAATAAATATGATAAGTTATAATGAAAAATAATTTACTTACGTCGATCGTCGCGATCCACAAAGTGAACGTCCATCTGGAACACGTCACGACGCGCCACTAATATGCTCTACTCCCACAGAACCCTTCGCATTATACGGCGAAATCAACGCACAAACGATCGAAATCGTTTTCACACGGTAGAATAAAATTTAGTAATCAGTACAATTTTTTAAACATCAACGCAAGATTAGTATAAGCCGTTCTGAAAGGGCTAGGACGTCCCTTTCCGACTCTTCCATTCACTTCTGCAACATATATTTGCTTTGTCAGACTTTCCGCATTCATTCTTTCCACATGACCAAACCACCGAAGCATTCCTTTCTTAATCCTGGTCACTGCATCATCTTGCAAACCACACTCTTTTAAAAAAAATAATAAATAATAAATTAAAATATATAAAGTAAAATAATAAAATACAAAAGATATTTTTTACATTCCTTAGACAATATATTTGTATACATTATTTCAAATAGCATCTGAACATTTAGTTGCTTGCAATAAATCTGAACAACAGAACGTAGGATATTACTGCTTAGCTGTGTTGAACTGTGAAATACAGTGAGAGCGCTGTCTTTTGTTTATCTTCAAGAGTTGCTTTGCAAACACAGATTACCTCTACAATGGAAGGAGACAATATAGATAATAAACATATATTGGACTCTCTCAATATACTCAGTGAATATTTGCAATAATAAAAGCTTACATATTGTTATACTTAAATAGTTACAAAATTTTGTCACTTTGGTTAATTAGAGTTGGTTGCGCGGAAAAAGAATCGGGTATTCTTATAATTTTGTTCGGGAGTATATTGCTCGCCAGTATCCGTCCTTCCCGTATCCACATTCCTTCCTCACACACTGATGGGGTAGATGGAAACGCGCGCCCCACCAAGATGAGGTGGTAAGATGGCCGACCCAATAAAGGGGCACCCGCAACCTTCGAGCGCTCTCTTCCAACGCACCACCAGAACAGAAGCGTCGTCCGTGGCATCAGGAACTCCGCTCCGGTAAGCGTGTTTTCCCTTTTATTTTCTTTTATTTACTTGAGCCTTTTTTTGCTTTATCTGTTCTCCCGTCACATTTTCTCTCCTACCGGCTCAAGTAGACCTTCCTCTCGACCCTGGTGAAGCAATAGATTTTGGAAGAGCGAGTGCATTGTCCAAGGCTGTCTCGTGACACGTCAGCCATATTGTTTTGGGGTATCAGGAAACCGCACATACAGTTCACCTAGTAACAACTTGTTAATAGGGTCAAGACCCGACCTGGGAATCGAACTCAGGAACCCCTAGGCCCGTCGCCCAACCAAGAGTCGAAAGGAACAATAAATTTTTCTGTATTATCGATTAAGGTGATTTGTTAACGGAAAATTTAAAATGGCATGCTTTTATTGTAGCAAATCAGTATTAGTTTTAATATATAAATAAGCAAAGTACTTGTTGTAAGTTTACCAGCAACCTAATTAGGTATTCTCAAAAGCAACTTAGTTATTCGCCAACATTATGGAAATATTTTACTACAGTTTGAGTTACTGACTTGACTTGGCAGGCGGGTTGGTAACCGCTGTTTTATATTTCAAGTTGGTATCAGGAAACATCTGCTGCTTTTCTCCTGTTTCATTTTCCTTTGTCGCCTCTTACGACATCCTCGGGATAACATGGGGTAGTAATAAATTTCGACAATATTTTGAATCTGTCACAAACGCCGTACTTTTTCCTCAAAAGACGGACGTAACGTTCGACTGTTAGTAAATCCCGAAATGGCAATATATTGAAAATGGGCCAAATTAAGAATACCCTTAACTGATGAGAATGTATGCGTAGGTATATGGATGTAGAGGGGGTGAAAAAGGTTTGTAAGAAATGTGCCAAATGGAAGTCTGTAGTCTCTGCCTACCCCTCCGGGTGACAGGCGTGAGTGTTTATGTATTATTTATATACTAATAAAACTAGTTGTATGTCTTTTATTTGAAGATATTAATTTTTTTAAAATTTCAAGCGTTCCGTGTACTTTATAATACCATTAAGCACACAGAGACCTTTTTGACGGCGTGACATCATAGGAATTTTTTTTCAGTGATATTATTTTATATGCTTTAAGTACTAGAAATTCCAAAATCGCAAGCCGTTGGTACCAACCAAACCAACTTATTGTGAGAACACGCACTCACACACAAATCACCATGACAACAACATGAAAGTCATGGTCAAAGGTGCATATAGTGCAACCAGCAGTGGACTATCCAAGCTGTTAAAGAAATAAAACGAAAGATGAGTGCGTAAATACGTAATAATAATATAATTTGAGCATAGTTTCGGTTTCACTTGCAATGTACGGAGCGCTCCATCTATCTTTTTTGTTGGTTTATGCCACATGAGTAAAGAAATGCGATAGAGTTTCTTTACTCATGTGTCTGTGCTCAGGTATGCTTAGTCAAATATCATCGAATCCTCACCTAAATTACTAAATTTTCCATTCAATTATTTGGTATTTAGGTTACATATGAAATTGCCGATTTTTATAAAATAAGTTAACGTATTTCTTTTCTGTAGGTTTTATTTTTATTTATCAAAGTAATCATCCATGTAATCGATGTATTTTTACCAACGCAGTGGCAGTTTATTGATGCCGTTTTTGAAGAAATCAGCTAGACGGGACGCAACTAACTCTTCAAAGCCATTTTGTACGGCCTCTCGGGTATTGAGTTTTTTCCCGCCAAAAGATTATTCAAATTACAGAAAAAGTAAAAGTCTGTAGGCTCAAGGTAGGTGGTTATATGATTGCACTATGCGTCATAATGGGGAACGTAGGCCAGCGTTAGTACGACATATTTTTGTCATATTTTATGACAAAAATATGTCGCGTGAGCGAGTATTTCTCATGTTTACGTTGTGAACCACTTGGAAGTTGAAAGATAATTCAGATGGTATACCGGAAAATAAGGAAACCCAGTCGATTTTCTTAGTAATATTATTAATTTCATCATATTTGGCTTCAAAAAAAGCGTATTTCAAAACAGGTTTAAATGGCATAGACAAGGAGGATTGATAAATACAAGTGTAAAAAAGCAGATGGAAAGAATCTAAGGGGACTAATTCCATTGAGGATACTAAACATAAATTGTTAGTATTATTACAAATAAATAAATCGGGTAAGTATCTTCGGTGCTTTCTTAAATAATTATTTTGGAAGCCAACAGTGTAACAGTAGAAGAAATACTAAATTCACCTAATGTATAAAATTTGTCAGTATTTCCCGATAAAAGAATGTTTTGCAATGCATCCAAATATGACTTATAGACTTGAAGCGGCCGATGCGGAGGAATATAAAAGGCGGCAGCAATATGTCTCATGTTGTGCATTGTTCATGAATTAGTTAAGTTTTTGCACATATATCTTTTCTTACGGTTGTTAGTACCCCGCCACCAAACACCCTGTATCAGGAATCTATTAATTCTCTGGTAGAAATTGTAGGAGTTAACCAAGTTTCTATCAAGATTATTAAATCGTAAGACTCGGATAATGTGTTCAACTTAGTCCGGAGTATATATACAACTTGAGAAAACGTAATAACACCCCCCATTCTCCCGTCCACCCCACCCTGCAGTACACCCACCCCCCAGACCCCCACCCCCCCCCCCCAACATCCTACAAAAAAAAAGAAGATTCAACACACCAACAATTTTTTTTATTAAGAGTTATATTAATTATATAAAAAAAAAAAAAAAAAACAAATATATAACGTAATTAACGCACACCCTGAGGCACCCCAATTAGTATATTATGTTACAATCATAATACATACATTGAATTTTTAGTTAAACATTTTTATGCACTGATTATTTATCAAATTAGTTATACTAATTCCGGAAGAATGTTGTGGTCACAGTACAAATCAACGAACGCAAAGACTTTAACGTGCTTGAAATAAAGTTCATTTTTCTTTATTTTTATTGAAAGTTTGTTTTGACTGTACAGATTTAGTGTGGCTGTGAATTTACGTAGTTTTAATTATTTTTAGGATAAAAAATTACCTATATTAAAAATGATAGGAATCGATTTAGTAAACGATTCAGAACAAACTACTTTCTCAAAGTGCGTTAATTATGTTACATGTTGTATATATATATACTCTTATTATATTATCAGAACAGTTTATCACATTGCGACTCAGAGCTTGTAGGGAAGCCATGCTGTCGGTGTTCATGTTCTGATGGTCTAGGAGTCTTATTTTTATAGCATGTAGTGCTATGGCCGCTTTGATGTTGACCATACATTCTGCCTGAAAGACTGTGTTGTGGATACCCAGCGGTGTACATAAGTGGATATTAAGTTCTTCCGAGAAAGTTCCAGATCCCATAACCTGTATTTGATTGAATTTAAACTTAATAATTTTTTTGGGCTTAAACCCTCCAGCCGAATAGTTTAATTTAATTGTATTACTTATCATACACAAATTGTTTAGGAATCTTATCGTATTTGGCTAGTCAGATAGGAGTTTTAGAGTAAATTTTGCTTATTATACCTGTACGGGTGGACTCTACTCTTTTCCATAGACACTAGAGTCTTGATTCCGATGAAAGCTAGAGTCGCTTCTTATTGCATGCGTAGGTGAAGCGGTGTTAGCTCCAGCATATCATTTAAGGCTACTGTTGGTGTAGTTCTTATGGAGCCGTAAATGCCATATATGCCAATGCAAAAGCTGCTTATTGGTGGTGGCTTCATTTGTTTTGGTCCACCATACCAAAGCACCGTACGCCTCCGATTTTTTATAGCCACAGTATAGTTTTTACAAATACACCTTGGACTTGAATTAAACACAATTAATAATTTCGCAATGTCGACGCTCACTAAGGACTTATTTTACGATATTCCCATAAAAATCATGATATTATATATCAACGTTATTATCGTCTATTATCGTGCGCCCAGCGAAGCGAGCGGGTATCAGCTAGTAATTTATAAAATTAAATTCAAACCCAAATATACTTTCGATACAACTGTGAGTGTATGTAGCTAAAAATAATAATTCAAAGTCA